CCTGACTGTAAAGAACGGTTTGGACCCTGGGTTCTCCTGCCAGGTCAGGTTATTTCAGCTCGAGCTGGGACCCTTCGAGAGGGACCCTGAACAAAGAACTCCCTGGGCAGTTATACTCTGACAATCCAGGTTCACCTCTCCTTACACGACGGTTCAGTCCAATAATAATATTTGGGTCTGGGGTTATCTCCTTCCTCACTGGATCCCTTCTCTCTCTTTTCTTACCTAAAGGGTGCAGTTTCTGTTCTTACTTTTCTCGATTAGCATTGGTTTCCAGGCCTTGCTTCAGCCTAAGCTCATCAGTACTTAGGTAAAAGTCCACAGTCTGAGCCTAAAGGCCTCAGTAAATCTGGATAGTCATGCTGAGTAATGTCACTCAGAAGACAAAACAAATTGCAATTCATTGTAGTTTTAAGCAATCCCACAATTAATTCTAATATTCTACAAGTAAGCTATTTTCATTTCCAACACTGCTCCTGCCGGGCCAGCCCAGGGATGGGTTGGGCAGCTCTCCGTGTGCCCCCACCATGGGTGCAGGGAGGACAGAGATGTCTTGCACCCCAAAGCCTGTACCCACTAGTGGGGATTTGTGGGGCTGAGCATTGTGCTCGGTTCTCACACTGCCAGTCCTGTGTTCGCAAACCCCCTCATACCTCTGCTCTGGTTTCTCATAAGGCTCCAGTGTAACGTTACCTCTCACGTGGAGGATCGATGCTGACAGCCTCTGACAGGCTGTGCCCACCAAGTTACTGACTGGCCCAGCAGATTTTCCCAGTTGGCTCCTGTTCCAACTGTCTTCCCGATTTTCTCTTCCTCCCTTAGTGCAGCTAGCCTGCAGCCACCATCAGAAAAATGACACAGATGTTGTTTGTGCAGTCATCTTTTATCCGAAGCGTGAATTGCATCAAATTCTGTTTGCTGACATTCAATCACTTGTCACTGAGCAGGCACCGAATGGTCATATGTCACAGTCACATCCCATCGCCGGGCTTGTCACTTGCACTCCTGGTCCCCCTCGTGTAAATGCTCACTTCCATGCCGGTATCTTTTGCTCAAAGACCGGCATGTGCCTCGGGGCTGCTGGCAGTGAGCTCTGGCCCTGCTGTTACACAACACTGAGAAGCATTCAGATTGTACCACTCAGCCCAGTCTTCCAGAAACAGAGCTTTTTTTTTTTTTTTTTCCCCAGCATGCTTGACAGACATGGCAAAGGCAAAAAAGTGTCTGCAGTTGGAGACCCAGTTATTGTTTTCTTTAAAAAAGGGAATAAAAGATGATAGATGAAGCTTCTTCCCCTGAGCCCACCTGTGTGTTAACTCTGTTTCTGACTGACTTGGACCCTCTCTAGGGGCTCTGCTGGCCAAGTTGCTGCCAGGCTGAAGCACGACACTTCACGCCCAGGGAGCACCTTTAAACCAGCAGTGTCCCCTGGTTTCTGGCTGTTTGGCTGCCGGTTTAGCAGGCTGTTAGAGCAGGCAGTGAGCAGCAGCCGCCGGCGCTGGCTGCTGTGCCCTGCAGCTGCTGCAGATGTGGCAAGAGACGAGTTTCCACCAAAGTGGTTTCAATTCCTGTTCCAGGTCAGTGCTTGGCACTGCTGGCGACGGCTCCCAAAGGTAAGCCAGCGCCGCGCAGCCGTTGTCACCATGTCCTCATCAGCATCCCCACCTGCATTTCTGCCTGAACACGCCTCTGCTTCGAGGGGTGTTTCCAGGTCCCTGGGTGCCTTTAGGCTCTCTGCCCAGTTCCTCATGTGGCCACCGACAGCAGTTTGGGCAGACGCAGACCCTGCCAGTGCTGCTGCCTCTGACCGAGGCTGCCCAGCCTGGGGTTCCGTATGGCGCTTGAGGGTTAGGTAGAGGTGGTGCAGAGCCCCTCAGGCCCCCACAGCATCCCCAGGACTTTTATTTTTTTTTTCCCCAGCTCATCAGCACCAGCTGAGTGCTCACATCCCACCTGTCCGGCCCCAGCTCCTCCAGAGCCGGGTGCGAGCCCCTAGCTCTGTGTCCTGTGACCCCAAGGGGGATGGGCAGGTGCTGCAAAATAATGCCCTAAGGACTCCAGCTTCTCAGCAAAGCATGAAGTTGCTCACTTTGGCTCCAATTCTTAATTCGCTTTGGAGGTTTGTGGTTTTCCTCCCAAAGGCATTTTTAAAATGATTTGTTATTGACCTTCTGAAGTGCAAGTCGGGCCAGACGGGGAGGTGATGGGCACCAGCCCCACCTCGGCAAGCATCCTTGAAGCTGGTGAGCTCGGAGCAGCACTTTGCCACCCACAACCTCAGCACGACACCGAGAGCCCAGGCAGTGCTCACGTCTGCCAGGGAAATGTGCCGCTCTCACGGGAACCGCTGCGCGAGGAGCAATGGGCAGCTGTCAGCGGCGAACAAACCCGCAGTATAAGTTCATACAAGCAAACCTCTGAACTTCCCCAAACCAGAGGGCGAATAAACAAGTCTGAATGGCACAATGAGGGCTGTGTCTGGTCTGTACAATGCAGAATCGCCGTTTATTATTTTCACGTCGCCAATAAATAATTGCCTTTATGCAGAACAAGAGAAGTCAAAACGATATTCAGTGCTGCTGGAGATGTAAAACTAATCCTCAAAAAGGCACTTACGGCTGCGGGACACAGAGTCTCACTTCGTTCTTACCTCCTCTCCCTTTGTCAGCTGCTCTCAACTTTCCCAGATGCTTTCTGGGATGACATTTGCAAGGCTTAGTCCCAACTCAAGACAAACCTGTCTGTAAAAATAGTTAAAAAAAGACTGCATCAACAATACTGTAGTTACACGTATAGATGTAATAATGTATCAATGTGGCACTTTGGGCCATGGTTTAGTGGTCACGGTGGTGTTGGGTTGATGGTTGGACTTGATGATCCTAGAGGTCTTTTCGAGCCTTAATGATTCTATACAAAAAGGTTTTTAAGAATGGAGAAAGGTTGTGTTCAGATGACACAAAAACAAATTACACATAAAACTCACCCAGCTTTGACAAAAAAAAAAAATCTTTAAAATGTTGCATCTCAATTTAGTGTGAAAATTGAGAAGACGTATAAGAGAGTCAGAACTGGTGGCATTTGGAAAATACCAGTTTCTGGTAGTGGCTGGTTTTAGTGGGCGAAGACCGAAGTGAGCACAGCCGTGCACAGCACACTTGGTGTGAGCAGTGGACCCCGCTGCGGATGGCACCTGGCACTGGGACCACCTCCTCAAAAAAGCAGCTACCCTAGCCAGGCACCCCCACCGGCATCGCCCACGGGGCTGGGGTCTGCAGCACCAGGGCTGGGGGAGGAGGCCAGTGGGAAAGGGGAGCTCCTCGATTTTGGAGGGGCTGGCTGCACCACTAGTTTCATGCTGGGATTGTTAGAATCACAGAATCCTAGATTACTGGGTTGGAAGGACCTCAAGGACCACCCAGCCCAACCCTCTAAGGTAAAGAAATACAGTTATATGAGCTGGCCCAGCTCTGTCAAGCTGAGCCTTGAGGCTGTCTAAGGTTGGGGAATCCACCACTTCTCTTGGAAGACTTTTCCAATGTCTAATTGCTCTTCTGGTGAAACATTTTCCTCTGGAGTCCAGTCGGAATTCCCCCAGGAGCAACTGGTACCTTGTTGGGGATGGCGGGTGGGGAACAGGGACCTCGATGCCTTCCCACCTCATTTAATGCCTGCACATCAGCATCTCCCCAGGAATGCAAACACCGCTCCATCCCACCAGCACACAGGCAGCCAGACGGAGAGCACTGCGGCTGCAAACAGTCGTCGCTTTTATTATTCTCGCTGTCCCGGCCAGTGTCACCGAGCTTCTGCGCTGCCAACTCATTCCCGGCACGGCTGATGGCATGGGTCACGTGTGTCAGCAGCTCGAGGAGCCCCAGCCGTTTTGAGACGTCCTATTGTTTGAATATGGTTACAA